GGGTTCACGCCATTCTCCTGCCTCAGCCTCCTGAGTAGCTGGGACTACAGGCGCCCATCACCATGCCCGGTTAATTTTTTGTATTTTTAGTAGAGACGGGCTTTCACCGCATTAGCCAGGATGGTCTCCATCTCCTGACCTCATGATCCATCCGCCTCAACCGCCCGAAGTATTGGGATTACAGGCGTGAGCCACCGCCTACTATGATCCCTCTCGTTTCAACTCACTTCATTCATTCACTCATTCATTCATTCATTCATTCATTCATTCATTCATCTGTTCATTCAGTATAATTGTAGGTGCAGGGGACACAGTGGTGAGCAAGTCAGACAAGGTAACTTTTTAAGAACTTTTTTTGTAGGCAGGGCGCAATTGTTCACGCCTGTAATCGCAGCACTTTGGGAGGCCAAGGTGAGTGGATCACATGAGGTCAGGAGTTCGAGACCAGCCTGGCCAACATGGTGAAACCCCAACTCTACTAAAAATACAAAAAATTTGCCGGGTGTGATGGTGGTCGCCTGTAATCCCAACTACCGGGGAGGCTGAGGCAGGAGAATCTCTTGAACCCAGAAGACAGAGGTTGTGGTGAGCTGAGATCACGCCACTCCACTCCTGCCTAGGCAACAAGAGCGGAAACTCTGTCTCAAAAATAATAATAATAAAAAAAAATTTTAGGGATGGGGGTCTCCCTATGTTCCACAGGCTGGTCTTGAACTCCTGGGCTCAAGCAATCCTCCCACCTTGGCCTCCCCTAGTGCTGGGATTACAGGCATGCACCACCACACCCAGCCAAGATTACTTATCCTATAGATCTTATATCCTATATTGGAGCTTACCTTGTCTGAGATATAAGCCACCTCAGGCCTGACCCTCCTCAGAGATCAAGATGTTCTTGGTTTTCAAAGAAAGCCCAGCTCTCTGTGTTCCTTGGATAGCCAAGAAAATCATACTGCTTCATTCCTGCTTGCCTTTTTCTGCAGCTTTCTCCCTTCTAGGCTGCCCTTTCTCCTTTTCCCCTACCCCTCAGCACATATACATGCAAGCGTGAGCCCCAAACCCTTCTGTTTCAGTCACTGTTTTCTTCCTGTCATCTTCTGGTACCTGGGAAAGGTCTAGAAAGGTATCAGCACATCTGACTGGTTGGTCCCAACTCACATGACCGAAAGATTAATATGGAAAATCACATCCTCGGGAGGATGGCACTGTGGACCCCTCCAGGCTTGGCTGGGTTATCATTCAAGAAGGTTTGCAAACATGGGTGTCTGAGTAGCTCAGATAAATCAGGTTCATTTAAAGTTGCCAGAAGGCCAGGCGTGGTAGCTCACACCTGTAATCCCAGCACTTTGGGAGGCAGAGGTGGGTCGATCACCTGAGGTCAGGAGTTCGAGACCAGCCTGGCCAACATGGTGAAACTCTACCTCTACTAAAAACACAAAAAATCAGCGGGACGTGGTGGTGCATGTCTGTAATCCCAGCTACTTGGGAGGCTGAGGCAGGAGAATCGCTTGATCCTGGGAGGCAGAGGTTGCAGGGAGCCCAGATTGTGCCACTGCATTCTAGTCCGAGCAACAGAGCAAAACTCCGTCTCATCAATAAATAAATAAATAAATAAAGGTGCTAGAAGGGGAAGACAGACCATGTAGAGGTGGACCAACCAATCTTTACCTATCCATCTGATCACTCATTTATTCATTAAAGAGCCTTTGTTCAGCACCTTCTCTGTTCAGTGACACATAGTCCCCATTCTCACCATCAGTGACAATAACCAGCTCAGAACAGAGAGAGATAATATTGTCACAGGGGCTGACTTTTCTTTAAAGCCTTGTATTTGTTTTTTGTCTTAGTTTTTGTTTGTTTGTTTGCTGTTTTTTTCTTGAGACAGAGTTTCCCTATTGTTGCCCAGGCTGGAGTGCAATGGCGCAATCTTGGCTCACTGCAACCTACGCCTCCCGGGTTCAAGTGATTCTCTGCCTCAGCCTCCTGAGTAGCTGGGATTACAGGCATGCGTTACCATGCCTGGCTAATTTTGTATTTTTAGTAGAGATGGGGTTTCGCCATGTTGGTCAGGCTGTTCTCAAACTCCTGATCTCAGGAGATCCACCCGCCTCAACCTCCCAAAGTGCTAGGATTACAGGCGTGAGCTACTGCACCTGGCTGCTTGTATTTGTTTATTGCTATGTGATGTGAATAATGGCTCGATTTTATATACACGCACACACACACAAACATACTATATATACATACATGTGTGTATATATATAATTGAGCCATTGATTACTATACTACGATATATGTATACATATCTGTATATATGTATACATATGTGTATATGTATAATATACAGATATGTATACATATGTATATATACTATATGTATATGTAGTATATATATAGATATGTTATCCGAGAGGCAGATTGTGTAATGTTAAGCACTAGGATTCCAAAGCCTGGCCTCCTGGGTTTGAATCCCAGCTCCACAGTTACAAGCAGAATAATTCTGGGCAAATGTTCTAACCTCTCTAATTCTCAATTTCATTTGTAAAAACAGAGACACAAAGATGGGGTTGTTGTGGGAATGAAGTAAGTTAGAATCAGTGAAGCCCTTAGTGTTTGGCACATGGTAACCTCCAAATAATAGCTTTAATTAAAGTTCTGGTACTCAGGGAATGGAGGTCTGGGGCTGTCCTGTGCACTGTGGGATGTTTCACAGCATCCTTGGCCTCTACCCATTAGATGCAAGTAGCTTCTCGCCAGTTGTGACAATTAAAAATGTCAGCCCGGTGCCATGGCTCACGCCTGTAATCCCAACACTTTGGGAGGCCGAGGCGGGTGTATCACTTGAGGTCAGGAGTTCAAGACCAGTCTGGCCAACATGGTGAAACCCCGTCTCTACTAAAAATACAAAAATGAGCCGGGTGTGGTAGTGGGTGCCTGTAATCCCAGCTACTCAGGAGGCTGAGGCAGGAGAATTGCTTGAACCCAAGAGGCAGAGATTGCAGTGAGTGGAGATAGTGCCACTGCACTCCAGCTTGGGCAACAGAGGGAGACTCCATCTCAAAAAAAAAGAAAAGTCTCTAGACTTTGCCAAATGTCCCCAGGGAGGCAAAATCACATGAGATTGAGAACTACTGCTCTAAATATTCAAAAATTAAATAGCTAATCAAGTATCCACGTGTATTATTAACACAATGTGAACTTTGCCTCTTTTGGACAACCAGTTATCACAGAGGGTGTAATTTGAGTTACCAATACGAGAGCCTAAGAGTCTGAGGATCTGCCCCGTGAGCCTCACAGGCTCCCCACTTCCAGAACGCCAGTTCAGGCCTTACTCTTGGAGCTACGCATCAGCTGCACTCAGGGACTTTTGCCACATCTTGAATTAGGAATTAGCAGAATCTCTCAGTAGGAATGTAGCATTTCTAAGACTGAATTGTAAGGCTATTTTAAGAATCTTTTGGAATTTAACACAATTTCAAAAAATGGTTTTAACTAGAAAGAGGAGTTTAATAAAAAAAAAAAAAGATATTGCCAGAGATTCTTCTTTGTTACATACATCTGAATGATTCCTTCCAATAAAATGTCTCCTAAGCAACAGCTAAAATCCTTCCCAACCAAAAGCTTAAAACTCTGTTGAATACTAATCAGATTATGTAGAATTTCCTGCAACTGGAATTGGCCACATGACACAATATGGGTACTGCGCTAGGCTTGATGACCTTCTCCGGGAGTATGTGCTGCCACCTGATGGTAGAAAGGCGTCATAGGCGCGGGATTGCTCACCAACTCTTAGCCTCAGGTTCTACCTCCTGAGAGGGAGCGGGTTTTTGGTGATAGGGAGCTTTCTTCTGCTGAGGATTCTGGACTCCTAGAAAAAATTCAACTAAAGGCGTTATGCAAGTGAGGGTTATTGACAACTAGCCCCGGATAAATATAAAATGTCTTACTCTTTTTTTTTGAGACAGAGTCTCACTCTGTCACCCAGGCTGGAGTGCAGTGGTGCCATCTTGGCTCACTGCAACCTCCGTCCCCCGGGTTCAAGTGATTCTCCTGCCTCAGCCTCCTGAGTAGCTGGAATTACAGGTGCGCGCCACTGTGCACTGCTAATTTTTTTAAATTTTTAGTAGAGAGGTTTTGCCATGTTGTCAGGGCTGGTCTTGAACTCCTTACCTCAAGTGATCCACCCCCCCCCTTGGCCTCCCAAAGAACTGGGATTACAGGCTGAGCCACCGCACCCAACCGTGTTTTATTCGATTTTAACCTGAAGAAAAGAGAACATAAATCTTCCTTCAACAAATCAAACAAAAATAAAAATATTCTTCAGCTCCATTTGATGGAGAAAGAAAGAGACAGAGAGAGTGGAAATGAGCACATCAGAGAGAGGAAAGAGACAAAGGCAGGTGGTCAGACAGCACTAGAACCTCTGCTTTCCTTCTTTCTTCATGAAGCCGGACCCCAGCGTCTGACTGGCTATCATTTGAGTCCATCTGACTGGCTATCATTCGAGTCCATCCTAACTGACATCCAAGTCCAGAGCATGTCACAGGCAAACAGACTGATGTCCAGTCCCAGCTTTGTCACTTGCTAGCTGTGTGTCTTCAGATAAGTTATTTCTCTCCGAGTCCCAGTTTCCCCATATGTAAATAGGCATGTCTAAACAGGCATGATTACACTTCCCCAAACACACCTGATCACTCTGAGGACTCATCAAGATCGCACGTATCGAGCACACGATGGTGGCACCAGGGGACCTTCCATTTTAGTGCTGTTATTTCCAAGTTCAGCCCCACTCGGATGGCCAGCCTCCTTCCTCCTGACAGCAGCCTGGTCCCTTCGTGATAGGCCTGGCTTCCACCCTCTCACACTTACTCCAGTAATTTGCCAAGCATCTTCTCTTTTTGGAGGATGCTGACTCAGACTGAATTGTGCAGAAATTTTAAAATGTTTTCATGATAAGGGGAGGGACCTATGTTTGAAATAAAAGTTCAATATTGACAGATCTTAATCATGAGGAATTGGCCGGATGCAGTACCTGTAATCCCAGCCCTTTAAGAGGCTGAGGCAGGAGAATCACTTGAGCCCAGGAGTTCGAGACCAACCTAGGCAATGTGGCAAAAACCTGTCTCTATCAAAAAATACAAAAGTTTGCTAGGTGTGGTGTTGTGTGTCTACAGTCCCTGCTTCTTGGGAGGTTGAGATGGGAGGATCATTTGAGCCTGGGAGGTGGAGGCTACCGGGAGCCAAGATCTCGCCACTGCACTCTAGCCTGGGTGACAGGGTGAGACCCTGTCTCAAAAATAATAATAATAGTAAACGAGGGATTAAAAACACACTTTCAATATTAATTGTGTCCAAATGAACACTTAACAATATATATTTACAGGACAAAGACCAAGCAAACCAACAAATCCAAGTGTGTAAAATAGAACAGTATCAACAGCTTTAAAGCTCTCTGTATACCCTCTCCTGTCTCATACCCTTCCTTTCGCCCTAGGTTACCACTATTTTGAATTATGTGTTGATTACTATATTTTACCTCTTTATAGTTTTACCACATATGCATCTCTAATCTATATATTGTTTAAGTTTGCACAACTTTTTGAGTTTTTATAAATAGAATATTAGCAAATGTGTCATTTAATGGTTTTCTTTTTTTATTCAACATTATGTTTGCGAAACTTATTACTACTGCTGCACACAGCTAACATAGCTATAGTGTCTTTTCACTACATATAGTATTCCACTCTAGGAATATACCACAATGTTGTCATCTATTTTTCCATTTCAGGCACTTGAGTTTTGTTTTTTTTTTTTGAGATGAAGTTTTACTCTTGTTGCCCAGGCTAGAGTGCAGCGACGCCGTCTCGGCTCACTGCAACCTCTGCCTCCTGGGTTCAAGCAATTCTCCTGCCTCATCTTCCCGAGTAGCTAGAATTACAGGCATCCGCCACCACACTCACTTAATTTTTTTGTATTTTTAGTGGAGACGGGGTTTTGCCATGTTGGCCAGGCTGGTCTTGAACTCCTGACCTCAGATGATTCACCCGCCTCAGCCTCCCAAAGAGCTGGGATTACAGGCATGACCTACCACGCCTGGCCGAGTTATTTCTTGCAAAAGCAAAAAGCTTGCAAAAGCAAAAAGCGTTGCACAGCAAAAGAGTTTCTGTGTGGTATATGCCTAGGAATGAAATTGCTAAGCCGTGGGTATAAGCATCTTCAACTCTCTACATAAAGCTAAATTGCTTTCCGAAATGGTTGTGCCAATTCTATTTCTACCAGCAATGCAGGTTATCTACATTGGCTTTTTCAGTTTTGTCAGTCTGTTAAGTGTATTATGGTATTTCACTGTGGTTTAAATTTGCATTCCCCTGATTACCAATGGACAACTATTCACAGGTTTCTTCTTCTGTAAAGTGCCTGTTAAAGACTTTTGGCCAGATGAGTGAACCAACATTTCTGCATTAGGTGGGCAGGGGGAGCTCTGCCAGCAAGGGAGACTGGGAATGGGAGGACATCAGGAGACATTTCTCAGAAGCGGTGACATTTGAGTTACATGGTAAAAGAGAGGTAGGTGCCTCTGGGCAGAAAAGGAGGAAATGGCTATAAAGGGAACTATGTGAAGAGTATCTGTGTGTGACAGGGCATTCTAGGCAATGGGAACCAAGTACAGGAACAAAAGGCCACGTGTGCAAGTTCATGTTCATATGCTTCACACGCCCCATCAATGGACTGTGAGTACTGTCCAATGGACAGTACTCAAGAATTGGACTCAAGGATGCAGAGTTGATTAAACAGGCCAAATGCTGTAACTAGCAGGTGTTCGTGCCACAAAGGATGGACAGATTTTAAAAGTAGGACTGTTTTCCTTTCAGGTTCCCCGAGTTTCATCTCTCCGTCTCTCCTTGCACCCCTTTGCCATGTTAACAGCACCCAAAGCAGCAGAATATGCCCGCAAACAGAGTAAGCCTGGTTACTTTCATCTGCTTAGAGGAATGTAAGTAAAACTAGGAGATTAGGAAATAGCCTCACCAGGTAAGGTCAAAATTGTCATGGGAATTCGATTTCTGTGTCTGGTTGAATTTGAAAGAACCAGGGGCTCTTAGGGCTTAATTTCCCTCCATTACTGAAATCAAGGAAGTCTTATTTCTCAGATGCTTTGGTAATGGGAGCAAAGCACTCCAGAAGCAAAGGATCTAAAACTGTGGGCGGGCTGGACAGGGTAGCTCACACTGGTAATCCCAGTGTTTGGGAGGCCGGGCTGGAAGGATCTCTTGTGTGCCCAGAAGTTTGAGACCAGCTTGGGAAACTTAGTGAAACTTCATCCCTACAAAAATAAACCGGGCACAGTGGCTCATGCCTGTGATCCCGTAATCCCAGCACTTTGGGAAGCCGAGGTGGGCGGATCACCTGAGGGTAGGAGTTTGAGACCAGCCTGGCCAACAGGTGAAACCCCATCTCTACTAAAAATACAAAAATTAGCTGGGCGTGGTGGCGGGCGCCTGTAATCCCAGCTACTCTGGAGGCTGAGGCAAGATAATCTCTTGAACCTGGGAGGCAGAGGTTGCAGTGAGCTGAGATTGCGCCATTGCACTCCAGCCTGGGCAACAAGAATGAAACTCCATCTCAAAAATAAATAAATAAATAAATAAATAAATAAATAAATAAAATAGCTGGCCATGGTGGCACGCTCCTCTAGTCCCACCTACTCAGGAGGCTGAGGTGGGAGGGTTGTTAGAGCCCAGGAGGTGGAGGCTGCAATGAGTCGTGATGGAACCACTGCACTCCAGCCCGGGCGGCACAGCGAGACCTTATCTCAAAAATAATTAATTAATGAAATTAAATTAAATGAAACCGTGGACGTACACATTTTTTTAAAAAGTTTTATATATAGATATGGTTACTACATCTGTCTGTAGGTGTCAAGTCAAGAAAGGGAACAACAAATAAAAATGCCACCAGCAGCTCTACAAAGGAAGCAAATGCCACGGAATGGAAATCATCACAAAGGTTTTCAGACACACAGCCAAAGAACAAAGTAGGTGTGAAATTGTAAATTGGACCAAACTGATACCAGCTATTTTGGGAGTACTTTCCTGATAGCGTGGTTAAAAGTTTAGCCTTTGGAGTCAGATGCTCTGGGTCTGCGCCATTGCACTCCAGCCTGGGCAACAAGAGCGAAACTCCATCTCAAAAGTAAATACATAAATAAATAAATAAATAAATAAATAAAATAGCTGGCCGTGGTGGCACGCTCCTCTAGTCCCACCTACTCAAGAGGCTGAGGTGGTGCCTCTAGAGCCCACTGCTTACCAGCTGTGTGACAGCAGGCAAGCTAAACTCTCTGTGCCTTAGTTTCCTCCTCTGCAAAACAGGAAGAATAATGATACCTACCTCTTAAGGTTGTTGGGGTGATTAACCGAGATTATTCATGGTAAAAGTTTAGAACAGTGCTTAGCACGGAGTAAACCCCAAATAAATACTAGCCATTATTATCTTTTCAGCATTTGAAAAATACTATCCACAAGTTAATTGGCTGTTACTCTGTTGATGCAAATAATACGTTGAGGAGAAAGTTTGTATTAATATCTGTATCCAAAATGTTCCTATTCTTGATTCCTCTCTCAGTAATAATCATTTTCTTTTTTCCTGCTTAATGTCTCCCCTGCTCCTGCCCATCTGATTCCCGATTTTTATGTGGCAGAATTCAGAGAATGGTCAGAGACGGACAGGGCTGGAAAGAAAGGAGACAGGGAGGAGGGCTCTTTGTTCTTCCAGCTCTAGGCTCTCAGCTGTAACGTGCAACGTGAAAAGAAAATTTAAGAAGTCAGAGGGACTTCTCTGATTAAAAGAATAAAAGCTGAGAGGGGAGAGAATCAGAAAAGTGGTACAGGGTGGGTGTCTGGGATATTTTAGAGTTTTGTTGAATGGGAAATGTTAGATATGCTGGAAGGCTGTAAGGTAGAAAGGGGGAAGGGAACTTTGAGAACTGATAGCTGACTTATGATTGGGTTTGCATCAGGAAACAAGTGACAATTGAAATTTATTTTTATTTAGTTTGGCTGTTGTGCCATCCATTTTTAAACTGAATCTCTGAGTAGACTGGACTACATGAGGCTTAGGATTTATTCAGATTTCAGAGGCAAACTATCTTCTCTGTCCCTTATATCTGATTAATTATAAATGTAACCTTATCATAGCAACTGCTTTAGCAACTGACTGAATTCTTTGGTCATATCAGGGTTTTAATAAATGTTATTCTGATAACAGAACAACTGCACTATTTGGAAATTGTCACCATATTCAATTTTCTTTCAGACGTATTTGCTATAATAAGATTTGAAGGTATTAGATTTTTTTTCTTTTCTTTTTCTTTTTTTTTCCTTTTTTTTTTTTTTTTTCTTTTTGAGACAGTCTCGCTGTGTCACCCAGGTTGGAGTGCAATGGCACAGTCTCAGCTCACTGCAACCTCCACTTCCCGAGTTCAAGTGATTCTCTTGCCTCAGCCTCCCGAGTAGCTGGGATTACAGGCATGCCCCACCACATATGGCTAATTTTTGTATGTTCAGTAGAGGCAGGGTTTCACCACGTTGTCCAGGCTGGTCTCAAACTCCTGCCTCAGCCCCCAAAAGTGTTGGGATTACAGGCGTTAGCCACTGTGCCCGGCCGAAGGTAGACTTTCTAGAACCATAGCTTTGTTTCTGAAGAATTTTTTGAAGAATTTGAAAAATGAGGTCATTTTTTATACGTGTTTGGAAGCAGCAAGTTTTAGAGGGCAAAACAAAGGAACAATGAAAAAAACAGTAACAACTCCAGAAATCACACACACACACACACACACACACACACACACACAATCTAGACTTCAAACTTAATCATACACACAAAAAGATCTCTGAAATAGGGGTTTACAGAAAACCCCCAAAGCCTCATCAATGGACCCTATGTAAGGAAAACCAACCTCTAAACATTACTCATTGGTATCTTATTTTTAAATATAATTTTGTTCCATGTATGTTTTCTTCCACAACCACTGAAGATTGTTGGACTCTTGATGGAAGCATATCTTTTATTTCCTTAGTATTTCTCACACATATATGAAGTACTTTGCAGGCAGCAGAGATTCAGTAACTATTTTTATTTAGTGAATTGGCAGTAGGTAGTAAGTGAATAGTCCTTAGGTGACGGTTCTCAAATCTCTGTACCCTGTCTATAGTATCAAAGGCTCAGTTCTGGGGACCAGACCTTTCTATAGGCTGACTGATGCTTGCGAGCCCAGGAGTGTCAAAAGAAAAAACGCCCATGTTTTAGTAGGGCCCCAGGCCCTGAGATGAATCCCTTCCAGAAAGGCCCTTTCTTAACAATCAAACGACAGAAAACCCTTTGTGTTTTTTCTTTCACACTTTATTATTTGTGCATTTTAGGCATTTTTTCAAACTCTTGGGTAATGTATCTTTTACACTAGTTTTAAAAATTTTAATAGTGATACATGCTTATAAGTAAAATTTTCAAGCCATACAGAAAATATAAAATGAAAAGCAAAGGAACTCCCTCTTCTTCACACCCCTTTCCCACTTTTCAGAAATAATCACTGTTAATATTTCTTGTGACATTTAAATATTTGCTACACATATACATATAAATATACATATATGTATGTCTCACTGGTTTGTTAGAATTCTTTCTATATTAAAGGAATAAATATTTTATTAAATGGATGAAAAATATGCTTTCACAGCTTGGTATTTGAAGAATATTTTCATTTTAAATATTTGAGCTTAATATTTTTCCTTTTTGGCTTGTAGATATTATATGTCTTTTAGCTAAAGAACAATTTTTTTAACCTCAAGATAAAACAATGCCTCATTCAGAATTTTTTATTTATTTCCAGCCACTGAATTTCTTCATAGAGTAAGATAAAATAGGAAATTATTCTAAAAAAAAATCTTGGCCAGGTACAATGGCTCATGCCTGTAATTCCAGCACTTTGGGAGGCCAAGGCAGGCAGATTACTTGAGGTCAGGAGTTCAAGACCAGCCTGAACAACATGGCAAACCCCATCCCTACTTAAAAATACAAAAATTAGCTGAGTGTGGTGATGCACACCTATAATCCCAGCTACTAGGGAGGCTGAGGCATGAGAATTGCTTGAACCCCGGTGGCAGAGGTTGTAATAAGCTGAGATTGCACCAGTGCACTCCAGCCTGGGCAACAGAGCGAGACTCTTGTCTCAAAACAAACAAACAAACAAACAAACAAACAAAACCCTCAGTGTTCTGGGAAACAGTTTTGTTTTTTTTTGAGATGGAGTCTTGCTCTGTTGCCCAGGCTGGAGTGCAGTGATGTGATCTCGGCTCACTGCAACCTCTGCTTCCCAGGTTTAAGCAATTCTCCTGTCTCAGTCTCCCGAGTAGCTGGGATTATAGGTGTGCAAACACCATGCCTGGCTAATCTTTGTATTTTTAGTAAAGACAGGGTTTCACCATGTTGGTCAGGCTGGTCTCAAACTCCTGACCTCGTGGATCCACCCACCTCGGCCTCCCAAAGTACTGCAATTACAGGCGTGAGCCACCGCGCCCAGCTAGGAAACAGTTTTAAAGATTTTTTTTTTAATTGCATTCTCCTGGGAAAGCGTCAGTAGTGGGCACATTACTAGGAAATAAATTTGGAATGAACAGGACCATACTAAAGAGCTAGAATACAGCATACTTCTTGAATCCAGGCTACCCACTTAATAACTTGAGTGAGCTACCTAATCTCTCTGTGCTTTAGTTTTTCATCTCTTTAAAAAGTCATGATAGTACCTACCTCATAGGGTTGCTACAAGCACTAAATAAGTTATATGTGTAAAGGCTTAGAAAAGTGTCAGGACAGGCCGGGCATGGTGGCCCACGCCTGTAATCCCAGCACTTTGGGCAGCCGAGGCGGGCGGATCACGAGGTCAGGAGATCAAGACCATCCTGGCTAACACGGTGAAACCCTGTCTCTACTAAAAAATAGAAAAAATTAGCAGGACATGGTGGCACCTGTAGTACCAGCTACTTGGGAGGCTGAGGCAGGAGAATGGCATGAACCCAGGAGGCGGAGCTTGCAGTGAGCCAAGATCATGCCACTGCACTCCAGCCTGGGTGACAGAGCAAGACTCCGTCTCTCAAAAAATAAAAAGAAAAGAAAAGTGTCAGGACAGTGGCAAGCAATAATATAATCACTCTCTTTATCACCACTCATGAAAAATTCATGCTATCGTGGAAGGAAACGAGACATAGAGAGAGGACAATTTAAATTTAAATCAAAGCAATACATCAGAAATTCAAAATAGTATCCTACAAGCATAACATGTAACTGCTAAAAGGCCAAAAACTGATTTGCTTTGGGTAGTACTGGTTAAGAGAAGTATAACTTTTTAATGTGAAAATAATTTCAAACTTAGAGAAAATTTGCAAGAATAATATACAAAGAACCCACATATTCCTTTTATGCAGAGTCACAAATTGTTAATGTTTTGTTCTATTAGCTTTATTATATTCTGTCTTTGTCTCTCTGTATATAGATAAAGATATATATATTTTTTTCTGAGCCATTAGAAGTTATATATACTCTACCACTTTACCCTATGTCCCTAGGTGTGTATTTCTTAAGAACAAAGTCATTCTCTTAAATAACCGCAGAATAGTTACCAACTTCAGAATATCTATTATTGGTACTTTTATTTAATCTACTCTCTATACACCAATTTTGTCAATTGACCCAATAATGTTCTTTTTAAGCATTTTTTTCCTTCTGTATAAGATCCAGTATGGGATCACATATTGCATTTAGTTGGGAAATATAACTCAATTTCCAAATATATCAGAATAATTCCATGAAAATTCTTTTGTAATTACATTAATCTAATCTATCTTTGTCAGTAAGTTAGTATCTGATATTTGACCTTAACTTCCTATAGACTTAAAGCTAATGTTTGTGTCCATGTTAAATTGATGTGCTTGATACCAAAATCATCTTTTATTCTGCAGGTCACTTAGAAAATTGGAATTGTACCATGGAACTTCATAATAGATTCTCTGGGAGCAGATGAGAAGCATCATCTTAAAACCACAGCTTTTGCCAGTACATTTTTCTTTACAACTAGTTTTTGATATAACTGCATTGAAGTGTTATTTTTGATGTTGAGCTTTCTTCTTTTAGAAGCATATTACATGGCTACATTTTGTTAAAAAAAAAAAGTATGATCTTATGCTACTTCATTGTGACTGGCAGACTGCTGGAGAATTCAGAGAGTATATAGTATTTCTGTATTAGAGCAAGCTGGCTTTGTAGCATATTTTACAAATGTGTGGCATTAAATATTGCACAGAGATGGAGTAGGAGGCAAATTTTCAAAGAGTTAATCCAAAATAAAATTAATCTGTCATTGATTGCCTTTACTGTGTTCTCATATGAAAAAATTTTTAAAACTCATTTCAATAAAGCATTAAAAGAAAAATGAATACAGGCTTTCTCTCAGTAGACTATAAAGACTACTAGGAGAGAAGATGTTCTGGTCTTTTAGTACCTTTCCAAAATGCTGATTAGGCACATGGCTTAGCCTGTCAATGTATGTAATAACAACTTGATCACATGAATGTCAGTATGCATGATACATTTCTTAAGGTTCTGGTGTGCCATCTGTCTACAGAACAGTTTTCATCAGCATGTGCAAAAACACAGATGGGGGCTGTAGACTTTTTCTGAAAATGGTGGTGTATTCTCATGCAGGGCTGGGAGACCAATGCAACGTTTTCCACACTGGGTTTGATTATGGTTGTAAGTAAGATTTACCAGTAGGCCTGCAGCTAATTAGAAGGGACGCAAAGGAGGGAATCAGCAACCTGTGGTCCCTGCATGCACTGCTAGGTGTCTAGCTTCATAGGACGTCACCCAGTTTTCTTTTGCCTAGCTCTGCTAGTTATTTTTTTCTCAGTAGCTATTGCTGTCTCTCCTTTTACCACCTGCGCATTTGCCTTACATGCTGCCTGAGGATTTTCACAAATGACATTGTGAATGTGTTGCTAGCTGTGGTCAAATACTCTTTTAGAATACCTCCGTGGGTCTAAAGCACAAAGGTGTTTGATTTCATCTTCCTACATACATGTGGAATGACAAAAGACAGTCTGGGGTTTGGAGTCTTCCTCCACCCTTGCACATCTGAGGAGTGCTTCTAAATCAATACATTGGCAGCAATGGAGAAGGCTCTCAGGCAGTCACTTGGGTTCAATGAAACAGTGATACTATTGAAAGGAAAAACACAGGCAATCATCATGCTAATTTTAAAAAACAAAAGCAATGCTAGAAGGAGGGTGGCAGGGGGAGGGGAGTGGAAGGATCCTGCGTATTCTTCTGCTCTTTGAGCCTCTCACAGACTCTCAGGTTATCTTTTTATTTTCAGCTCAAGAAGTGTTTAATCTCCAAGCAAAATATACCTGCTTCCAGTATTTACTGCTTTTCACCAGCACCTCAAAGTCATACATTTAAAGATTGACTTTATTATTTTTTCATCTCATGAAATTGTTATCTTTATAATAGAATTTTTTTCCTGTTTGGCTGAAGATGGCAGATGTAATAGAAAATTAAGAAAGCAGCAGCAAAAAACAAAATAAAAAAATAAAGCTAAGATCTATAATCTTGCCATTTATTGATTACCATGATTGATATGTTAGTATAGTACACACTTCTAATCTTATGTTTTCCCTACCTAAATATACGCAAAATATTTTTATCAAGACTGTATCATACTGATGAAGTCATTTAAGAAATATAATTGTCTTTCAATTAGAGGATTTTCTGTTTGGGATTTTGTTGTTGCCTCTTCACAATTCATGTCCTTCTGGACCACATATGCTTCCCATAAGTGACCTCAGATGGAACCACCAACCCCCATCTCAGCAGTTTCCATAGGCAAACATTGCAGAATGCTGGGCATGTAATGTATTTCTAGTGAGCTGCATAGGATGAGAAGTGCGCCCTTTGTCTCCAAGGTCATAATGGCTCTGCTGACTTTAATACCTTTCACTGGAGCTAGTGAGGACAACTCGAAAATGCCAGAAAGAGAGAGAGACAGTCCCCTGCCCCATGATCTCAGATGAAAAAAAAAGAGAGAGAATACAGAAATCCCCCTATGCACCACCCCCAGGTCCCTTTTGTGTTGTTTTTGCCAACACAGCAGCTTTCCTGCTATATATACCAGTTGCCCCTTTGTCCCCATCATACTACATGCTAATCACCCTCTGTCAACAACCATGGGGAAGGTGAGCCTGTGGAGATGCTGTGCCATGTCTATTGGGGGTCTGGGGTGTGTGGGGATGTTCCTTCCAGCTGACTGTCTACTGTCACCTTATTTCTACCTCAGATCACCTTCTTCGAGGACCGAGACTTTCAGGGTCGCTGCTACAACTGCATCAGTGACTGCCCCAACCTGCGGGTCTATTTCAGCCGCTGCAACTCCATCCGAGTAGACAGCGGCTGCTGGATGCTCTATGAGCGCCCCAATTACCAGGGCCACCAGTACTTCCTGCGCCGAGGCAAGTACCCCGACTATCAGCACTGGATGGGCCTCAGCGACTCGGTCCAATCCTGCCGTATAATTCCTCATGTGAGTCTTGCTTCAACCTGACTGATGTGAAAGCATCAATGATCCATGGCCATCAATTCCTGCTTATAAAAGTCAGTTTGCTCCAACTCAGCATGAGTGTTCACAACAAGGCCTGACCCTCAAGCCTTAAAAACACAGAACAAAACAAAACAAAACAATAATCTCTATTTCTCCTACTTAAGCACATCAATAATTTTTTTAGGGCATGGGAAATCACAACATAGCCTTTAAATTAAACTTGGTAGCATCTAGATGATCCCTAATTTCTACATAAAAGTCACCTTATTCAGTAACAAAAAAAAAAAAAAGAAAGAAAGAAAATGAAAGGTCTATCTAGTTTATCTAGATAATTTTTTTTTTGAGACAGAGTTTCACTTTTGCCCTTGTTGCCTAGGCTGGAGTACAATGGCATAATCTCAGCTCACCACAACCTCTGCTTCCCAGGTTCAAGCAATTCTCCTGCCTCAGTCTCCCTTGTAACTGGGATTACAGGCATGCGCCACCATGCCTGGCTAATTTTGTATTTTTAGTAGAGACGGGGTTTCTCCATGTTGGTCAGGCTGGTCTCAAACTCCTGACCTCAGGTGATCCGCCCACCTCGGCCTCCCAAAGTGCTAGGATTACAGGCATAAGCAACTGCACCCGGCCATGATAATTATTTTTTAATGATAAAAAGTTAACAGACTATGGGATAACATATAGGTATAATGTATTCTGACTGCATTGGAAATTTTTTTCACTACATTCTGGGACTTACTAGAACCTAAGAAAATACGTTTCAACTTGTGTGGATTTATAATTTCCAGGAGTCATTATCAACTAGTTTCTTACAAATACCAGAGACACACAATTGATTAGGATTTCATAGAACACGGTCCTCACCAAAATGCTGGTTAATCTTTTTTAATCACATGCAGCATGTGTTTACACTTTCTGATGGCACCAAGTTATGTGGTGTGACAAGGAGATTCGAGAATTGAAATCGTGGCCAGACTTAGTGGCTCATGCCTGTAATCCTAGCACTTTGGGAGGCCAAGCTGGGCAGATCACTTGAGGTCAGGAGTTCAAGACCAGCCTGGCCAACATGGTGAAACCCTGTCTCTACCAAAATACAAAACATTAGCCAGGCATGGTGGTGCGTGCCTGTAGTCCTAGCTAAGCAGGTGGCTAAGACAGAAGAATTGCTTGAACCCAGGAGTCCGAGGTTGCAGTGAGCGGAGATCATGCCACTGCACTCCAGCCTGGGTGACAGAGTGAGACTTCATCTCAAAAAAAAACAACAAAAAAAACCAAATTTAGGCTAAAAAAATATGCAGATGCACAAAGAGGTATAAATAAAATAGGCATTTTTGGGGGACAAGAAACTCAAATGGCACAAATGACCTGGCAAAATGTCACTTGAAAAGACATGTGGACTCAGTGTAAATATAAATCACTGTAAATTATAAGTGCAAAAAGTGACTCAAAAACAAGCTTGATAAGACTCAATTATATGGAGTAAAAATGGATATGAGAGTTGAAATCCTCACTACAGACTCACTGACTACAATTGTATTGATGGTTGCTTACAAAGAATACACTTTTATTCCCTGTATTTTAATGTTTGTTTCTTCCACAACATCTCCAGTTCACTGATCAGGTCAGATTTATTTTAATATTTTTCCTAATTTGTTAGAATAACAACATTAAAAGTGGGTTCAGGGGAGAAACACTTTATCAACTGGTTTAAAAACCACGTTTCAACCAGGTGCAGTGGCTCCCAACATTTTGGGAGGCCAAGGTGAGAGGATCACTTGAGCCCAGGGATTCAAGACCACCCTGGGCAACATAGTGAGACTCCGTCTCTACAAAAAAAAATTTAAAAATAAATTAGCTGGGTGTCATGGTGCACACCTGTGATCCCAGCTACTTGAGAGGCTGAGGTGGGAGGATCGCTTAAGCCCAGAGGTGAAAGTTGCAGTGAGCAGTGATTCTGCCACTGTACTCCAGCCTGGGCAACACAGCAAGACCTTTATCTCAAAAATAAAAGTCACACTTCATGAAGATACAGACCGATTGTGTCACTTTCGTTGACACCCAAGGATGCACGCTGTTTATTTTTCTTCTTTTGTTTATTGCCATGACAGACCAGGTCTCACAAGTTAAGGCTGTACGAGAGAGATGACTACCGAGGCCTTATGTCTGAGCTCACTGATGACTGCGCCTGTGTCCCAGAACTCTTCCGTCTCCATGAGATCTATTCCCTCCACGTACTAGAGGGCTGCTGGGTCCTCTATGAAATGCCCAACTACCGGGGGCGGCAGTATCTGCTGAGGCCTGGGGACTACAGGAGGTACCACGACTGGGGGGGTGCAGATGCCAAAGTCGGCTCTTTGAGACGGGTCATCGATTTGTACTAAGCTGTGCCTGCCTTGTTATGATCCACATAGAAACAAAATAAATATACAAATTGTGTTCCCCGCACTAAGTGGCTCTTGCTTATCTTTATTTATTTTATAATTTGTTTTGTTACGGAGTCTCGCTCTGTCACCAGGCCGGAGTGCAATGGCGCTATCTCGGTTCACCGCAACCTCCACCTCCAAGGTTCAATCGATTTTCCTGCCTCAGCCTCCCGAGTATCTGGGATTACAGGCACCTGCCACCACGCCCAGCTAAGTTTGTAGTTTTAGTAGAGACGGAGTTTCACCATGTTGGTCAGGCAGGTCTCAAACTCCCGACCTCAGGTGATTCGCCCGCCTCGGCCTCCCAAAGTGCTGGGATTACAGGCGTGAGTCCGTAATACAGGACCGCGCCCAGTCCTTGTCTTTAAATAATAACTGAATTCTAATAGATAGCCACCCCTGGCAACT